TTTACAATTGAGTAATTTAAATGTATTAGCCGTGTAAAAACTTATATAAATACAAATTCTGAAGTCGATACAGGCATTATTAGCTGAGTTGTGAACTTTTTGTTTACAAATTTACAATTGAGTATGCAAATGTATTAGCCATGTAAAAAATAATATAAGTACAATTTATGCCGTGCATTATTAGCTGAGTTGTGAACTTTTTGTTTACAAATTTCATTATTAGCTGAGATGTGAACTTTTTGTTTACAAATTTACAATTGAGTATGCAAATGTATTAGCCGTGTAAAAACTAATATAAATACTAATTCTGAAGTGGATACAGGCATTATTAGCTGTGTTATGAACTTTTTGTTTACAAATTTACAATTGAGTATGCAAATGTATTAGCCTTGTAAAAACTAATATAAATACAAATTCTGAAGTGGATACATGCATTATTAGCTGAGTTGTATACTTTTTGTTTACAAATTTACAATTGAGTATGCAAATGTATTAGCCATGTAAAAACTAATATAATTACAAATTCTGAAGTGGATATATGCACTATTATCTGGGATATATGCACTATTATCTGAGTTGTGAACTTTTTGTTTACAAATTTACAATGGAGTATGCAAATGTATTAGCCTTGTAAAAACGAATATAAATACAAATTCTGAAGTGGATACATGCATTATTAGCTAAGCTGTGAACTTTTTGTCTACAGATTTACAATTGAGTAATTCAAATGTATTAGCCATGTAAAAACTAATATAAATACAAATTCTGAAGTGGATATATGCATTATTATCTGAGTTGTGAAATTTTGTTTACAAATTTCATTATTAGCTGAGATGTGAACTTTTTGTTTACAAATTTACAATTGAGTATGCAAATGTATAAGCCGTGTAAAAACTAATATAAGTACAAATTCTGAAGTGGATACAGGAATTATTAGCTGCGCTATGAACTTTTTGTTTACAAATTTACAATTGAGTATGCAAATGTATTAGCCGTGTAAAAACGAATATAAATACAAATTCTGAAGTGGATACATGTATTATTAGCTGAGCTGTGAACTTTTTGTCTACAGATTTACAATTGAGTATGCAAATGTATTAGCCATGTAAAAAATAATATAAGTACAATTTATGCCGTGGATACATGCATTATTAGCTGAGTTGTGAACTTTTTGTTTACAAATTTCAATATTAGCTGAGATGTGAACTTTTTGTTTACAATTTTTACAATTGAGTATGCAAATGTATTAACCGTGTAAAAACTAATATAAATACAAATTCTGAAGTGGATTCAGGCATTATTAGCTGAGTTGTGAAATTTTTTGTTTTTAAATTTACAATTGAGTATGCAAATGTATTAGCCGTGTAAAAACGAATATAAATTCAAATTCTGAAGTGTATATATGCACTATTATCTGGGATATATGCACTATTATCTGAGTTGTGAACTTTTTGTTTACAAATTTACAATGGAGTATGCAAATGTATTAGCCTTGTAAAAACGAATATAAATACAAATTCTGAAGTGGATACAAGCATTATTAGCTGAGCTGTGAACTTCTTGTCTACAGATTTACAATTGAGTAATTCAAATGTATTAGCCATGTAAAAACTAATATAAATACAAATTCTGAAGTGGATATATGCATTATTATCTGCGTTGTGAAATTTTGTTTACAAATTTCATTATTAGCTGAGATGTGAACTTTTTGTTTACAAATTTACAATTGAGTATGCAAATGTATAAGCCGTGTAAAAACTAATATAAGTACAAATTCTGAAGTGGATACAGGCATTATTAGCTGCGCTGTGAACTTTTTGTTTACAAATTTACAATTGAGTATGGAAATGTATTAGCCGTGTAAAAACTAATATAAGTACAAATTCTGAAGTGGATACAGGAATTATTAGCTGCGCTATGAACTTTTTGTTTACAAATTTACAATTGAGTATGCAAATGTATTAGCCGTGTAAAAACGAATATAAATACAAATTCTGAAGTGGATACATGTATTATTCGCTGAGCTGTGAACTTTTTGTCTACAGATTTACAATTGAGTATGCAAATGTATTAGCCATGTAAAAAATAATATAAGTACAATTTATGCCGTGGATACATGCATTATTAGCTGAGTTGTGAACTTTTTGTTTACAAATTTCAATATTAGCTGAGATGTGAACTTTTTGTTTACAATTTTTACAATTGAGTATGCAAATGTATTAACCGTGTAAAAACTAATATAAATACAAATTCTGAAGTGGATTCAGGCATTATTAGCTGAGTTGTGAAATTTTTGTTTTTAAATTTACAATTGAGTATGCAAATGTATTAGCCGTGTAAAAACGAATATAAATTCAATTTCTGAAGTGTATATATGCATTATTATCTGAGTTGTGAACTTTTTGTTTACAAATTTACAATTGAGTATGCAAATGTATTAGCCATGTAAAAACTAATATAATTACAAATTCTGAAGTGGATATATGCACTATTATCTGGGATATATGCACTATTATCTGAGTTGTGAACTTTTTGTTTACAAATTTACAATGGAGTATGCAAATGTATTAGCCTTGTAAAAACGAATATAAATACAAATTCTGAAGTGGATACAAGCATTATTAGCTGAGCTGTGAACTTCTTGTCTACAGATTTACAATTGAGTAATTCAAATGTATTAGCCATGTAAAAACTAATATAAATACAAATTCTGAAGTGGATATATGCATTATTATCTGCGTTGTGAAATTTTGTTTACAAATTTCATTATTAGCTGAGATGTGAACTTTTTGTTTACAAATTTACAATTGAGTATGCAAATGTATAAGCCGTGTAAAAACTAATATAAGTACAAATTCTGAAGTGGATACAGGCATTATTAGCTGCGCTGTGAACTTTTTGTTTACAAATTTACAATTGAGTATGGAAATGTATTAGCCGTGTAAAAACTAATATAATAGTAATTCTGTAGTGGATACAGGCATTACTAGCTGAGTTGTGAACTTTTTGTTTACAAATTTACAATTGAGTATGCAAATGTATTAGCCATGTAAAAAATAATATAAGTACAATTTATGCCGTGGATACATGCATTATTAGCTGAGTTGTGAACTTATTGTTTATAAATTTCATTATTAGCTGAGATGTGAACTTTTTGTTTACAAATTTACAATTGAGTATGCAAATGTATTAGCCGTGTAAAAACTAATATGAATACTAATTCTGAAGTGGATACAGGCATTATTAGCTGTGTTATGAACTTTTTGTTTACAAATTTACAATTGAGTATGCAAATGTATTAGCCTTATAAAAACTAATATAAATACAAATTCTGAAGTGGATACATGCATTATTAGCTGAGTTGTATACTTTTTGTTTACAAATTTACAATTGAGTATGCAAATGTATTAGCCATGTAAAAACTAATATAATTACAAATTATGAAGTGGATATATGCATTATTATCTGAGTTGTGAAATTTTGTTTACAAATTTCATTATTAGCTGAGATGTGAACTTTTTGTTTACAAATTTACAATTGAGTATGCAAATGTATAAGCCGTGTAAAAACTAATATAAGTACAAATTCTGAAGTGGATACAGGAATTATTAGCTAAGCTGTGAACTTTTTGTCTACAGATTTACAATTGAGTAATTCAAATGTATTAGCCATGTAAAAACTAATATAAATACAAATTCTGAAGTGGATATATGCATTATTATCTGAGTTGTGAAATTTTGTTTACAAATTTCATTATTAGCTGAGATGTGAACTTTTTGTTTACAAATTTACAATTGAGTATGCAAATGTATAAGCCGTGTAAAAACTAATATAAGTACAAATTCTGAAGTGGATACAGGAATTATTAGCTGCGCTATGAACTTTTTGTTTACAAATTTACAATTGAGTATTGTAGCAGGCCAGTTGATTGTATTATGATCTGGTCACACGATTGTTGGGCTACGCTCTCTGAGAGAGAGGTTACTCTCTCTCTCAGAGAGCGCTGCTTATGGATTTCGGGGGTTGAAAGGCACGCGGCCTGAGAGTGGCAGATCACTGTTTGATGAGAAGCCAAAAAGGAGAAGACGTATGTGCATAGATTGTGAACAAAATAGACAAGAACAGACAAGACAATAAAGTGTAAAATAATATAAGCAACATTTAAAACGATAATAGAATAATAAATAAAAGAAACTAATTAAAACAACATACGGCCACAATCTCAGAAGTGGGATCGAGGAAAAAAAAAAAAAATTTTTGTGCACGTCAACTAAAAATAACTGAAATGGATTTGGACATTAATAAAGTGACGGTGGCTCAGCTGAAAAGATGGCTAGAGTGTTTAAACTTGTCGACGAAGGGGTCAAAAGCTGATCTGTACTCCCGGATATGTGCGATTCCACCCGAAAGCCGAGGTAGTGCTCCAATGATGAACCAGGTGGAGGAGGAGCAAGAAAGTCTGGACGAAGAGGCGGAAGGGGCAGCGGTGGAGAAGCGAGTGAAGCAGAATCGGACGGAACTGGCTCGTGGCATGGCAACTATGGAGGAGCTGCATCGTGAAATCGAGAAGGCAAGGAAGGTTCTCGAGAATCTTCAGCAGCAGATCGACAGCGTCAGTTCGAGAATAAGCGACGCGCGACCAAGCGGCGCCAGAAACGACATGTCTGAGCATAACGGCGACATGTGCGACAGAGATGGCGAGCGTAGCAACGGTGCGGCAGAAGATGTCCGTAGGAGCGAAAGAGATGGCGAGCGAAGCGAAGCGAATGAGGCAGAGAGGAATGAAAGAGACGCCAGCGAGAATTCTGGAAATTTCGGACGAAATGACGACGGGCAAAACGCCAGCAGCGACGCTAACAGTGGAAGAGGCGTTCGAGACGATTTTTCGTCAGCCGGATTTGGCTTGGCAAAGGAAATCCTATTGGATTTTTCGGAAAACATGTCTGTTCGTGCCTGGGTCTCCCAATGGGAGAATGTTGCCAGATTGTACAAGCTAACGGACACCCAGAGTAGAGTTTTGCTGATTGGAAAACTGAAAGGCAGCGCGTTGCAGTGGCTACACGCAGATGCAACCCGGTTCGGAGAATCGACGAGTGAGCTGGTAGACCAGTTACTTCTTGCGTTTGGTGGCAACGAGTCGAAAGCAGAGTTGAGACGCAAATTCGAGGCGCGGCTATGGAAGCCAACTGAGAAGTTTGCAGTCTATTTCGAAGAAAAACGCAGGCTGGCACGAGAAGTCAACATGGAAGATGACGAGCTGCTGGACGGACTTATTGTTGGCATTCCGGCGATAAATCTACGCAATCAGGCCAAGCTTCAGTGTTTCGAGAATCCAGGAAGGATGCTTAAAGCATTTGCCAACATAATGTTGCCGGTAAGGGCTGCTGGAGAGAAGAAGATGCACAACGCGAAGGATGAGCTGGCGAACAAGGAGACGCGTTGCTATAACTGCAACGGTAAAGGGCACTGGGCACGAGACTGCATCAAATCGAAGAGGACTCCTGGGTCTTGCTATGGATGTGGGGCGATGGATCACATGATCAGCAAGTGCCCCCAAAACAAGAAGGATGCGGCAAATAATTACGTAAGATTGTTTAAAATTTTTGTTTATGCAAACTCTAACCAGCCAATTATTACAGAATGCTTGATCGATTCAGGAAGCCCAGTATCTTTGATAAAATTTTCTTATGTACCCAAAAAATATTAGATTAGAGCCTCATGAAGAGCTATATTATGGATTAAATAAAAGCATACTAAGAAGTTATGGAAAAATGTTATGTTATGTAATGAAAGAAGAAATAAAGATTTATTTTAATTTAATTGCTGTGGCTAACGATTCAATGAGCTGTAATATTGTGCTGGGTAGGGACTTTATGGAGGCTTGTAATCTGAAAATTAATTTAGAAACCTTAAAAATGATCACCGTCGAGGGAATTGAAACCCAAATTGAGAATACGACAAATATTAGTTTATTGAATGACACTAAGGAACCGAAGGAAGCGGATGAAATCTTAGAAGAAAGTTTAGAAAATGAAATGTTAGAAGAAAGTTTAGATAATGAAATGTTAGAAGAAAGTTTAGAAAATGAAATGTTAGAAGAAAGTTTAGATAATGAAATGTTAGAAGAAAGTTTAGAAAATGAAATGTTAGAAGAAAGTTTAGAAAATGAAATGTTAGGAGAAAGTTTAGAAAGTGAAATTTTGGGAAAAGGTTTAGGAAATGAGATTTTAGAAGAAGAAAGGTTCGAAAGCAAAATTTTAGAAGAGACTTTAGGAAATAATAGGGACGATTTCACAAGAGAAATGATGAATATTAATATATTAGATGATGATGAAAAGGAAAATTGCTTTATTATTGGTGAAAAAATTAGCTACAAGGATCGAGAGAAGTTTATTAAGTTGTTAGAGACACATTATGTTCAAGTCAAGCGACCTGAGAATCCGAAAATAAAATGTGAAATGAATATAGTGTTAGAAAACTCGAAACCATTTAGTTGCGCACCGAGGAGACTGTCATATAGTGAAAAAGAAGCACTGTTAAAAATGTTAGAAGAATACATTAGAGATGGAATTATTCAACCTAGTAAATCGGAGTATGCTTCTCCTATTGTATTAGTGAAAAAGAAGTCGGGGGAACTAAGACTTTGTATCGATTTTAGAAGATTGAACAAGATAATGTCAAAGGATAATTATCCGATACCATTGATTGATGACCTTTTGGATAATTTAGTAGGAAAATCGGTGTTTACGAAATTAGACCTTAAGAATGGCTATTTTCATGTATTTGTTAACAAAGAGTCAGTAAAATTTACGTCTTTTACCACCCCATTGGGGCAATTTGAGTTTTTGCGGATGCCGATGGGCTTAAAAACAGCTCCGCAGGTATTTCAGAGATTCGTTAACGACATATTTTCGGACATGATAAGGCAAAAGAAGGTGATCATATATATGGACGATATTTTAGTGGCAAGCAAAAGTTTAGAAGAACATTTAGAAGTTTTAGTAGAAGTATTTAGAAGGCTAGTAGAAAATAAATTAGAGTTGAGAATGGACAAATGCAAATTTTTACAAGACAAGGTTAAATATTTAGGTTTTCTGATTTCGAATGATGGGATTAAGGCTGACAGTAAAGGGTTAGAAGCGATACAAAATTTTCCGGTTCCAGGCAAGGTGCAAGCAGTTCAAAGTTTTTTAGGTCTTTGCTCGTATTTTCGGCGATTCATTAAGGATTTTCCGATATTAGCGAAGCCATTGTATGATTTGTTGAGAAAAGATAGAGTTTTTAAGTTCGAAGCAGAAGAATTGGATTGTTTTTCGTTGTTAAAGGCGAAATTAATGGAAGCGCCAGTTTTAGCGATATACGACTACAGAGATGATGTTGAGCTTCACTGTGATGCAAGCGCTTTAGGATTTGGAGCTGTGCTTCTTCAGAAAAAAGAGGACAACAAATTGCATCCTATTTTCTATTTTCCAAAAAGATCGACTGCAACAGAAGCAAAGTATCATAGTTTCGAGTTAGAGACTTTAGCCATAATTTATGCGTTAAGAAGGTTTAGAATATATTTACTAGGCAAACGTTTTAAAATTGTAACAGACTGCAACTCTCTAACGTTAACGCTCAATAAGATTGAGTTGAACCCAAGAATAGCAAGGTGGGCTCTAGAATTGCAAGAGTTTGACTATGAATTAAAGCATAGATCAGGCAAACAAATGCAGCATGTAGATGCATTAAGCAGATGCAACAACATAATGATAGTGGAGACAAATACATTCGAAACAAATTTAGTAATTTGTCAATCAAAAGATGCAAAGGTTCAAGAAATTAGGAAAATGTTAGAAAGCAGTGAGCATAAGATATACGAAATGAGAAATGGTGTAATTTATAGGAAAAGTAATGACAACCGATTATTATTTTATGTACCGAATCGAATGGAGGAACACGTGCTATACAAATACCATGACGAAATGGGTCATATTGGGAGGGATAAAATGTTAGATGTTATTGGGAAAAGCTACTGGTTCCCAAACATGAAGGACAAAGTAGTAGAGCATATTCAGAATTGTTTAAAGTGCATAGCTTATTCTCCGAAAGTGGGTAAGGGAGACGGACACTTACATAGCATACCCAAAGGCAATAAGCCTTTTGAGATCATTCATATAGACCATTATGGACCGGTAGATAGCAGCAGATTGAAAAAACATATATTTGTGGTGGTAGATGCTTTCACAAAGTTCGTTAGGTTGTACACAACAAAAACGACGAATACAAAAGAGGTGATAAATGCATTAAAAGACTATTTTCGAGCGTACAGTAGACCGAAATGTATAATATCGGATCGAGGCAGTTGTTTTACATCGTCTGAGTTTACAGAGTTTATGGAAGATAGTAACGTTGAGCACATAAAAATTGCGACGGACTCGCCTCAGGCAAATGGTCAAGTTGAACGAATAAATAGGAGTTTAGGACCCATGATAGCAAAACTGATAGAACCGGAAAAGGGTTTACATTGGGATAGAGTTATGGAAAAGGTTGAGTATTCGATGAATAATACGATGCATAATAGCATAAAGCTATGTCCTAGTGAAACATTATTTGGGATAACACAGAGAGGAGAAACATGTGACGAGCTAAAGGAAAGATTGGAAGATGAAGAAGAGAAAGGAAAGATTAGGGAAAATTTAGAAGATGAAGATGAGATTATTGAGGAAAACAGGAGAAATTTAGAAAAACTTAGAAGAAAATTAGAAGGGAAAGAAGAGATTAGAAATGAGTTAGAATTAGAAGAAAAAAGTATTGAGGAAAATAGAATAAATTTAGAACAAATTAGACAAAAAGCTGAAGTAACACAAAGACAGGCTCAAATGAAAAATGAAGAATACTATAATGCGAGAAAGAAAAAGGCAACAGAATATAAAGAAGGAGATTACGTTATGGTTAAGAATTTCGACAGTACTGTGGGTGCTGCAAGAAAGCTCATTCCGAAGACTAAGGGTCCTTATGTCATTATAAAAGTTTTAAAAAATGATAGATATGTTCTTAAAGATATAGATGGGTTTCAGTTGTCTCGCAATCCATACCAAGGCGTGTGGAGTGCAAATAACATTAGACATTGGATAAAATCATAATATAATGATAAAATATGTAATTGTAATATTGTAAAGTAAAGAAAAACAAATTGTAATACTGAAACGAATTGTAAATATGTTAAAATTGTAATTAAGTTATAGCATTAAGTCAGAGATAGAGGGCTATCTCAAAGTCAGGACGGCCGAGTTGTAGCAGGCCAGTTGATTGTATTATGATCTGGTCACACGATTGTTGGGCTACGCTCTCTGAGAGAGAGGTTACTCTCTCTCTCAGAGAGCGCTGCTTATGGATTTCGGGGGTTGAAAGGCACGCGGCCTGAGAGTGGCAGATCACTGTTTGATGAGAAGCCAAAAAGAGAAGACGTATGTGCATAGATTGTGAACAAAATAGACAAGAACAGACAAGACAATAAAGTGTAAAATAATATAAGCAACATTTAAAACGATAATAGAATAATAAATAAAAGAAACTAATTAAAACAACATACGGCCACAGTATGCAAATGTATTAGCCGTGTAAAAACGAATATAAATACAAATTCTGAAGTGGATACATGCATTATTAGCTAAGCTGTGAACTTTTTGTCTACAGATTTACAATTGAGTAATTCAAATGTATTAGCCATGTAAAAACTAATATAAATACAAATTCTGAAGTGGATATATGCATTATTATCTGAGTTGTGAAATTTTGTTTACAAATTTCATTATTAGCTGAGATGTGAACTTTTTGTTTACAAATTTACAATTGAGTATGCAAATGTATAAGCCGTGTAAAAACTAATATAAGTACAAATTCTGAAGTGGATACAGGAATTATTAGCTGCGCTATGAACTTTTTGTTTACAAATTTACAATTGAGTATGCAAATGTATTAGCCGTGTAAAAACGAATATAAATACAAATTCTGAAGTGGATACATGTATTATTAGCTGAGCTGTGAACTTTTTGTCTACAGATTTACAATTGAGTATGCAAATGTATTAGCCATGTAAAAAATAATATAAGTACAATTTATGCCGTGGATACATGCATTATTAGCTGAGTTGTGAACTTTTTGTTTACAAATTTCAATATTAGCTGAGATGTGAACTTTTTGTTTACAATTTTTACAATTGAGTATGCAAATGTATTAACCGTGTAAAAACTAATATAAATAGAAATTCTGAAGTGGATACATGAATTAATAGCTGAGTTGTGAACTTTTTGTTTACAAATTTACAATTGAGTATGCAAATGTATTAGCCGTGTAAAAACGAATATAAATTCAATTTCTGAAGTGTATATATGCATTATTATCTGAGTTGTGAACTTTTTGTTTACAAATTTACAATTGAGTATGCAAATGTATTAGCCATGTAAAAACTAATATAATTACAAATTCTGAAGTGGATATATGCACTATTATCTGGGATATATGCACTATTATCTGAGTTGTGAACTTTTTGTTTACAAATTTACAATGGAGTATGCAAATATATTAGCCTTGTAAAAACGAATATAAATACAAATTCTGAAGTGGATACATGCATTATTAGCTTAGCTGTGAACTTTTTGTCTACAGATTTACAATTGAGTAATTCAAATGTAT